AAAATTTTAGAATGTGCTTTAGTAGACGTTAATTTCTTCTGAACCCGTTGTTTTGCAGAGATAGCAATAATTTTTGTACACACTAGATAAATATCCAAGGAAGGCATTGAATTAAAAATAAAATTTCCTTTTAACAAACATATTTTTTATACATTACATATAAAAAGGAGTGCTTTAAAAATCAATGCTACTCTCCTTGGCTTTAAGGAGTCAGGAAAATTTTTCTATTGGAATTTTTAGGGCTACGAAAGTACGGCTGCTACAAAGTATCATTGATTGCTAAATTTCGATTCTAATCATTGCAATACAAATGAGGCATTCACGTTGACAATAATATAAAATAGTAACCAGAAATTTTTCTTCAATATTATAGAAAGAACACTATTAATTAATAATTCCTCAGCACCCATCCTTGCCCGACTTACTGCAGCATCTTTGGGTCTATATTTATACATGGTCTTTCCTACTGAAGGATCCAGGAGTTCACGCTTATAGTCCCGACGAGCTAAGCTAAGAAGCGTAAGCGAATAATAAAGAAACTTTCTTTTCTTTCCTCCAGCGGGGGATATTTTCTTTAATCTCCTTTAGTAGAAGAACCTAGTTAGTTAGCAGCTCTAAATTGTTAATTAGTTTTGTTCAACTGAAGTATTATTATATTAGTAAAGCGCGAAAGTTGTAAAGTGCTATAACCTGATCCCTTAACAGTAACATTTATATTAACATTCATAGTTCGATTTCATTCTTATGGTTCAACTTGTAGTGTCAGGGAGTATTACTTATGCATTGACTTTTGGGCACGTGTGAAGGGGTTTAGAAACCAAGGTGAAACAACCTACTGCCAAGCTATAATATAATATATTTAAACAAACTAGTAATAATCTTATAAACCAGAAAGTAATTTTGGTTATCCTTTAATTTATTGAGCATTAGGTTAATTTACTTGGTACTTATATTGATTACAACTGGTTATAGTCTTTCCTGTCCAGAATAACTTTGTAAGAAATGATAAAAAATTTATGAGAGGTGAGAAGTACAACCATAAGCTATTATATAAGGCAACAATGGAAGTCCTATATTATATAACATCTACTGAGCTATCTCACAAGATAAATAAAAACTCGTCCAATACTGTGAAGATAAAATGGCGTACCTGCGGGTAGTAGCTTTCCGCAGGAGCTTCCTGGTCTTCTTTGGTAGGGCATTACCTTGAAGTTAGGGAAAAAATTATCGTAAGTACTAGCTTGACCTTTGCCTAGGGTGAAATAAGTAGCTGTCTTTAGAAAATGGAACATGAGTATACTGATCTTCCCTAAAATAGCTCACGTAGTAAAATAGTTAATTAACAGTTTATATATAAAATTAACTTCAATCTTTCAGAAGCACACAAATGAAGCAACGTACTTCAACCTTAAAACAAGTAAAGACTAATGCCCTTAAGCTAGGAAGCAATCTTGCTTATAATTTTTAACATTTGGATACTTTAGCAATAACGAGTGGTTGGAATGTATTTAGCTTATTATTATCTATAGAGCTTTTGTTAGTTTGACCTTTTAAAATTAGCCTTCATCCGCAACTCTTGCAGCAACGCAAACATAGTATATGACCTGGTCTGCACCTAACAGGATAAACTGAAATTCCTTAGCTTTGACCCCTTGAGGTGATCTAGTTGAGTTAGACTTTTGCCTTAATAATTTAAAAAGTTATGCCCAGCCAGAAAATATGTTAATTCGAGAATCTTAATAAAACATTATCAGCTATATAGGTTCCTAGTTATAGTGTTTTTAAGTCCTGATGCTTCATAGCTTGCGAGTATCCTTATAGTCAAGTACACTCTTCTAGGAAGAAAAATTATTTATCACAACTTCCCTAGGCTCATAACGTACCACAGCTTGTACGCAACAAGCCTATAGTAAAATTCACAATATATGCTCGGGGTATACAGCGAGCTGCTTAAAGGCATTAGTGGCTTTGCTTGCTCGAGCCTCGGCGTTGATTGTCATGTTGAGTCATTCTTGACCTGGAATGGAACAAAGCCATGAGGTGATGGATTGGTAATGTGCTCCTTAAGAAGCCTCTATGGTCATGGCTTTCTGAGAGAGCTGAAACACCAAAGTAGGCTCTCCTATTCTTTACTTTAACCTTGTATCTTACCTTGTATCTTACCTTTCAAGAAATTTTCACTACCAACGATTATAAATATGGTTATCGTGCTTTGTCTACTGAGTTGCATGGTGTAGTTCTACTTAAAGAGCTCTAGAGTTGCTTAACGCGCTGTTCGAAAAACGTTTTTTATATGGTAAATCCTCGTACATACATGAGTCTTTTTAGGAGCTGCCAGAGCCCCTCTGATGGGTGGAGGTTATATCATCATCCGGTTACATAGTGGTGTAAGGGTCACACCTTTTTTACTAGTTTAATAGTTATAATCGTCAGTTGCTAATGATGATGATATACCATAATTTACGCTGCTTGTCCTCTGATCCTATTGCGGTATTAATCTAGGGTCTGGAAGATCTATTCGACTAACTTTAAATAAATTAGAGTAGCTAAGTGTATTTGATTCAAGTGATCTAAGTAAACGGACCCGAAAGCTAAGCTTATCCTGATTGTGTGCATGAATAGGTTCTACATGCTTTTAAAATAGTTTGAAACTGGTTAAAGTATATCTTGTCTAGTAACGTGCTATAGCGAGATGTAGCAGTAAAACTAAAAGCTGACTTATAATTGGCTCAAAAGGAAGTGCCTACTTCCATATACCTTGCGACTCTAACATTCAACTATAAAAACATGCTCATTATGCAGTGTTGTTCCCTAATGTATTACCACTACTGGTTCAGGACTTTATTCTTTTTTAATTAAAACCAAAATGTTGAACAACTTATACAATAATATATTGATAAGAAAATAATAATAAATTTTATAAAGCTATAATCCCTTTAAAAGCTTAATAAGTCACTGTCACTAGTACAAATCTTAGGATACCTTAATAACACTAAACAAAATTATTTGGTGTGGATTCATGAAAATCACTAAGAAAAAAAGGAATAAAAAAAATGCTACTATTACGCTTTAAGTTGAACATTCGCGACTATAAGTCTACAACGGAGTATATTATTTTTGATTAATTTCTACCCTGCCTAGTTTAGATTAATTACGAAAAAAAACCATTACTTATCTCTTGAATTTGAACAAAATGCTATAAGCAAGACCTTGCCTAACAAATTTAAAGTAAGATCCCGCTTTTAAAATCAATATAGAGATTTATAAGGAAGCGAATAAAAACACTACTAAAGCTAACCCTTTCAACAGAAAAAGTCATACTGGTATGGCATCTCTTTACAGGAAGATTGCCCTGCAAGAGGCGAACATGATGTAACGCATATAACGCATATATTTTAAACGAGTTATTAGAATCACAAAGCCATATTATTTAAAATATAATATATATATATAAAGTGATAACATGCTGTGATAAGCATATCTACATGCACTAAATGTAAATTACGGTTTTTTTATAGCTACAAATAAAAAATACTATAAGTTTAAGCCGGTAAAGTAAGACATATACTACGTTCTTTCGTCTTTTCTTTTTTTTGCTTTTCTGTGAGAATAATCTTTTACTGGTCAAGCACCTCAAAATCTTGCAAAACTGTCAAGGAATTTAAACAGTTTAGGACGTTACGCGTTAACTTTCTTCATTGTTCAAACCATATCGCTGCTATTTTCGAAACCAAGTGTAGACGTATTTAAGCAATGCACCCCGAATTACCAATAGTTTCCGCGGTAGGTTGTTGCTTCTAAGGCAGGAAATGTCTTTCTAAAGAGTTGTGTAAGGTCTTTAAATTCCAGCGAAAATTGCTTGAGACGTTTAATAAGGCCGCGACCTCCAAGGAAAGCCCAAAAAAAATTAGCATTGTAATAGCAGGGAAAGAAATAAATATTGATGTCGTAAATGCGCTGTTTAATTGTCAGTCCCAAAAACTTTCCAAATAATTTGTATTGCAACTGTCAAAACGATTTCCTAATTAATGCCGACTCTTGACATGGTGGTGCAGACGACTGGCATTAGGCACTAAAACGCATCAAAGTCTGAGCACTAAGAGGTTAGGCAAAGAAGGAATTTTAAGTTCCTACCATGTCTCATACAAATGCGTGTTTGCATTCTATAATTTTAAGATTTTTGTCTTTTACCATAAAGTAATAATAATTTGTTCTTGTAACATAATTTTTACTTCACCCTTACCAGTGCTCCTGCATGCGAGTTCTTCACCCTGGTCATTAAGTAGGTATTCGCCTCTGAACAATAATGTTCGTCTGCTCTTATACATACTAAAGGGATAAAGAGTGTGTATAATTTTTACAGAATAAAACAAAGTATTTTGGCCTTAATAAAAAAGAGTTTTTTGTTATTTATGTCATAAATTTATATACTACTATTTACTTTTTCTCTAGAATCGCATGCTTAATGGCGGTAAGGTAGTCTGATTTCTCCCACGTGGTCGCTTACCTTTTCTTTCAACATTATCCCCTCGTTTTCTTTTTTTATTTTTTTTAATTAAAGCGAATCATTCCTTAATATTTGTTCTTTTAGTTATTTTTTTTAAAATCAATATATAAATTTCAAATAGATTTTTTTAAAATGACGGAAGTTTCTGAAAATTCTTTGGAAATAGTACAAATCGACGGTTTGGTGAGTGTTTCTTGTTTAAACTTTGGCTTATTCTTTTAATAATTATTTAAAATAAAGTTATTTTTTATGGAGTTTTAACATTTTCGTGCATTTGTAAGGTCGTTATAAAAATAATGAAGCACTGCACAGAAAGTTTGCCAGAACTTGTTCACGGTCAATTATTAGGTTTAGACGTAGACAGAAGACTTGAAGTTACTAATTGTTTTCCATTTCCTCAAGAAGAAGAAGAAGAAGAAGGCATAGAAAAATAATTTAATACAAATTATATATATATTTAATGTTATTCTTCTTTCGAATTGTTTATAAGGAGCTCAATTTCAGCTTGATATGATGTCTCGTTTAAAAGAGATTAACATCGACAATAATGCTATCGGCTGGTAAATTATTTATATTGGTTTTTAAAAATGTTATAACATTTACATATGTTTTAGGTACCAATCGACTTATCTTGGATTTTTGAACGGCATGATGATCAACGCTCAGTATAATTATCAGTCGTCTATTAGCCAGTCGGTCATGCTTGTCTACGATCCGTATCGCTCGCAGCAGGGAATAATTTCTCTTCGGGCATTTCGGCTTTCTAAGAAATTTATGGATTCCTTTAAAGCAAATAATTCAGAATTGATTATGATAACGCCGGCGATAATTAAAAATCATGGTTTTTTCTAACTTGTTTAGAATATATTTTTTTAAACGTCAATTATATATATGATTATTATATTTCTAAACGTTTAATCAAGTTGTTTTTTTTATTGTAAGCAACTTTTTAATTATATTGAATGAAATTTTATAATTTTATTAGAATAATAACTAGTGCAGTTAATATTCACTGCTATTTGAAATTATGTAATACTGATATCATATTGATTGAATAAGGGCTTACCCACGAGGACATTTTTCAGGAATTACCAATAGAAATTACAAATTCTCCTCTTGCGCGCTCCCTATTGGCTGAATTGGAGACTCCGCGCCATAAGCCTGACATATTCAATAAGCTCAATCTTGCTTTTCACACGTTCACTGAGAAAAACTTGGAACTCCTTATAGATGGAACGGGTTATTATTATTATTATCATTCTGGTTACTACTACTATTAATATTACTTTATTAATACTATTATTATTACGTTTGGTTATAAGTTGAAAGGATATATAGATAAATAGTTTATCTGTAAAGTAGTGATAATAGAAATATTATAAAGTATATTAATGTTTATATTATTTATATATAAAAGTAAATTTTTTTTGGATTAATAATAATAAAAATAGAAATACTCACGCAAGACCAAAACAAATATCAGTACTATCTCCGCCACGTGGCCCGCCAGCAGCAAGCCCAAGAAGATCTTTCCCGTCTTCGCGAGGAAAATGAGAGGCGAACCGCCGAGGGACTGCCTCCTTTAAACCTATCAGAATCGCTTGTTAATGCCACCAGGCCAGTCATAGCGCCGAACCGTTTAGATGCTCTTTTAACATACAATCAGATATCAAACTTTTGTTTACAGGTTTTTTTTTACAATTTATTTTGTTAATTTTTAATTATTACTATGATTATTGTTATGATTATTATAATTATTATGAATATTATGATTATTATTAAAGGTTGATAACTTTGCGGCCAACACATTCACAAAACTTTATCTACTTCAATCCTTACAAAAATCGTCTACTATCATTTTCAACGAATGAACCAATAAATAAAGTTTTATAATAAAGTTAACTTTTATTACAATTTTTATCTATAACCACGTGCTTATGCCATGTGCCCTTTCACAAACACAACACGTGTTACGCCACGCTTTGCACGACTCTCACTTTGTTATAGAGGAAAAGTCTCTGCCTCTACCGCTCCTCTCCATTTTTTTTAAATTTAGTAATTAGTTAATTTTGATAGCATATTTTTGTTTTAATTAATAAGTATTAATAAAAATTTAAATGACTTGCCTTACTTTGGATGCATCATGAATATTATTTTTTTTTCCTTATTGACCTGCGTCTCATTTACTTTGATGCTTTGGGTACTTTTTCGCATTCAGTACAGTTATTACGAGTTCTTTTCTCAATCACTTAGAAGCATCGTACAACTTATGCTGAGTCGTTTTTTCTAATTATTTATCGTGATCGGTGTTTGAACACACTTTCAAGTATGTCACAAGCGCGTAGTTTGAAACTTTAAAAAAAATTAAATTATCAAGTCGCTTAATAAAGACTTAGGGATGGAGTACTCTTAATTATAATTTTACTTTAGCATAAAACTATTACATGATCTTTTATTTTTTGTGGTGGTTGCTGCTAGTGAGTATCTTATTGGTTAACCATCCGCTAAATTTAAGGAAAAAATAAGTTATTTGAAAAGGGTAAATATAATACTAATATTGATAAGAGGCAATTAAATCCTCTGTAAGTTTCGTAGAGGATATCTTCTTGAGTGTCCTTATCATATTAGTTACTTAATCTTAATGTTTTAAAAAGTCCTACGCAGTAGGCGGTCTTCAAGAAAAAATTAGTTATTATATACTCTTTAAAATTTGTTCACGTAATATATTTAGCGGTCCTCCAAGTGATATTGAAAAACGTTACTTAAGTAAAGTTATACTAAAACCAAAATATTTTCGCTATCAACGTTATAATATGAAACTGTTTAATTTTAATTTAAAAGTTATTAAATTTTTCGTAAGGTCTAACTTGCTTTATCGCGTTATTGTTTAACCAACCACTCATGACACATGTCTACTGTCCAAAAATTTAACATTGAAAGCACGCCCATAAGTTTTTATAAAATCAATAAAATTCTATGAAACGGAAAGAGTCCTTCTTAATAATTTTTATAAGCGACTCACCTTGTAAGTCGTTCGCAGTATTAAGTGCTACATAATTCCGCTCCCATTCACGCTGCAAGATAGGTATTGTTATCATTATACAATGCAAGAACCTTTTATTATAAAAAAAAAAAAGTGAGACTAAAACCCTTGGTGCTCCTAACCTTTATCGGCACGGCGCTGTTGTAGCGAAACTACATGGCGAAAGCCGTAGTGGTGGTTTACTTGCTTCTATTATGCGTTATATGTTATATTTGTGCACTGACACTCTCTAAGTGACTGAAGGACTACACAAAAAAATTTTAAGGACAGAAGTTATATACTATTTTTACTACTTTCACTAGCTGGAGTCTCTGGTAAACCCAAGAAGCAGACCAGTAATTTATATGCACTAATTACAATGAGTGAAAACCTCTAATTGCTTGTTATCTTTTAAACAAGATAATGAAACGTCGCTCATCACATAGAACTGGTTAGCAAAACTTATAATATTTTCGAAAGTTTCATGTGCTTTAAGAAAAATAAAATGAAGGTATATAAAAATAAGACTTGCTGTATTTTATATTAAAAAATATGCATTGACGCAGCGAAATTTTTGATCAACTACAAATATATGCTTCTAGCTCATTCATATAAAAAAATTTAGTTAAGAAGGGCCAACATATATATTTATCAATGTAATTTAAAGTGTCCGCTTTTAATACCAGTGCAAAACCTGCTATCCTCCCGCGTATACCAGGCAGTGCGAAAAATAGAGCTAACACTAATAACTATACTGTAGTAAAAAGTTCTGATCCTTAAGCTTTTGATGTTTTAAAAAAACAGCTAAGTCTTTTGTCTAAAAATATTCGGTCTACATAGCTTTAAAATTCTGTAAAATCAAGTATTTTGTCATGGACTTTTTTAAGTTAGGGAAATTTTCTGTAGTAAACGACAAAAACCTCATTTTAAAATTTTCCTGTCAAAAAAAAAATAGCTATTTGGTGATAGAGAGACACCTTTTTTACTTACTAGCCCTTAGTTTTGTAGTAAAAGGCTGAGGTACTTAGTAAGTATCAAAATTAACCGCAAATCTGAGCTACCCTTGTTTGGGATCTAAAGGGCCTTGTACAACGTATCCTTAATAAAAGTGAGGGGGGATGTCGACCTTCACGGATTAATTGCCCTCAACTGGGGGCATCCTCTTTTAAGCCAGCGGTTAATTTCGACAGAAAGAGCTCTTAATTATATAGTAACTACTTTTTAAGGCCAGTTTTACAATAATTTGTGAGGTTTACGTTGTTAACCGTGGTTTTATATTAGTTACCAATCTTGAGTGTAAAAGAATTATGAACTAAAAGTTTGCGTTCATTACCTGTCTGTTTAGCGTAAAATTAGTTAATATATAATTAAACATATTTGTAAAACAGTTTCACTGCTGTTATAAAACCCAAAGGTCAAAGTTGTTAGCTATAAAGCAGAAAAGGACTAGTAATATATGGAGGGAAAAGTATAGTATACATATGTGTAAAGCTTTATTTATAAATGGATAAGAACTGGAAAGCACAGCACAGTTAAGAATAGACCAAGAATGAGGGTCAACCCTAAACACTTAGAGAATAAGCATATTTCTTCTTCCGTTAAATAGACAAAAAGTATATATCTCGACCAAGTTTTGGATTTGCAAGTTCAGTGACTTGTCACCGTCTGGCAGTTACTTAAAGCCCCAAGAAGTAGATATTTAATAAGTTTAAAAAACTATTCTGTCCTTCTTTTGTTGCTGGTTTTGTCTAATATTTTACGTTTAGGATCTTGTATATTTAGATTAAAAAATCTTTATTTTAGTCGATGAGCAGAGAGAAAGAACTCATATGGTGTTTCACGTGGTGGTATGGTATTTAAACCAATTTAACGTAATAAACATATTTTACTACGTTAGTAATTACGCAACAACTCAATTATGCCACTATAAATATAGTATCAACATGTAAAGTATAACACGAAATAAGGCTTTTAGTTGAAATTTAACAAAATTTTAAAGGCAGTTTTAGCGTGCAAACTTGGAACTTAATAAGAAATATTTAAAATAAACCTCATCGTAACAAGAACCAATGAGACATTAAAAAGTGTAAAGTAACGCGGTATACTACTAAATTCAGTATGTTAGTACATAATAAATAAGTTGAAAAAAGGGGTGAAACTTACATACTGATAGCCCATGATATTTAGAAACCACTATAGGCACATTTCACGCGCATCATTTTTTTTTAGTGCTTTCTTTAAGACAGTAATTCAATTAAAATTTCGTAAATTTTTTAAGGTATCTAAATTTTTGTGTGCAGGCGAAAAGCAGAAAAGTGTTTTTTACTTTGCTTCAGACCTACACGGAGTTTACACAAATTTGTATTATTCCGGATGCCATTAAGTAATACTCAGTTTGGTAGTAATAATATTTGCACTAGAAAAACTTAGATTTTTGTTACTTTCTAAGGTTAAAGAATGTGTACTTGCATTTTACATAGACTTGTAAATAAATCCAAGCTTTTTTTCTTTGTGATTTAATTTTATTAATATATTGTAATAAATATAATTTATATATTTCATAGTTAAAGTAGAAAGCTTATTGCTCCAACTAATTTGTTTAATTTTTTTTTAATTAACCTACATTTTCTTTAGGCCTCTTATAAAAACGATAGTTTAGGAGTATTCGAATTATTAACTACTTAATTGCTAGCACATCTTACCAATATTATTATAATTAATGCTGCTAGTGGGCATGTTTTCAGTTATAGAACTTAGCAGTCTTGAGTTGTAACAGAAACTGTGAAAATAATTCTAAACTAATTTAGCTTATAAAAGCGAAAGTATAAATCATAAACTCCTTCGTCTTTTCGTAATAATTAATTAAGCAATTACATATTTGTTTATTGACTTAAGTGTTGCTTATAACTTTAGCTGATTATGTTATGTATATCCACATAAGGCCCTATTTTTTAACAAAAAAGTAGCAAGCTTTTTTTCTTAGTTGTTAGCCTTTTGTTCTTGATCTCTGCGTTCGCAGATACCCTTAGTGAGTTGGTTTAAGTATTTTTTTAACGCTTTAGTTTTATAGTATTATTTGGTTTTGCTTGAATAGAATCTTTACCTATTAGCCCTCTAGGCAGGAGGCTTTATTTTTAGTCTAAAAAAAAAAATTTAAAAGGAGTTAGCCCCCTGTTACTACCCTAAGATTGTAAGATAGTAAACGCCCGCAGAGGAATTCTATAAGAACTAAGGACTGATAAGTCGGAAGAAACAAAAAATAAAACTAATAAAAATTTAAAAAATGAATGAAGGTGAGACAAAACTAAGAACTTAAGATACAACTAAGGCAAAGCTGTGCACAGGAGAGGACAGAACTTATAAAGGACTTATAAATTAGAAACGGTAGAAGAAAAAGGAACTTAAAGACAAACTAGGTAAAAGGCGCTTTATTATAAAGAAGGTAACATAATCAGACTCTAAATTTTAGTTAATAAGCCTTAAATATTTAAGTGCTACAAAAAAAATTGTGGGTATTTAAAAAATGCGTTGCCTGTACCTAAAATTGATTCAAGTAAAAAAATAAAGCTGGAAGGGCACATGCTAAGATTGAAGCAGTCACAGGCACAGGCACCTGGAGATGCCAGTTTGCATTGTTACTGGCCATAAATTTTTGACTGTTAGCTGTTAGGGTTTTTCTCTGGCCTTTCTTAGCCAAGTGATCTCTATGAGCATAAAAAGCATTAAATTAGAAATGTATTGAGACTAATACTTAATAACTTCCAAGCTTCCTGATTTGCAAGAGAAAGTTATGGACCTGAACTTCCATTGAACGACTAACTACTATTTTACTAATAGAGGAAATTGGTACTCAACCGCAAGCAGTAAAGGTTGCACATTAAATCTAGATGCTTTTATAATAATAAAATTCTGTTTGTTTTGTTTCCTTTTCTTAAGTCTTAGTTATAACTTTTAACTTTGCCCCTAACTGTTTCCCTCCTAATTTCGTAACTAGCATTTGTCAGTTAGGCACTAAATTTACATAGGAGTTTTCTAACTCGTGTATTAACATATTATTGATTTTTTTATTATTTACCAGTAGAAAAAAAAAAGTATTGGTGCAAATTTTTTATGTAAAAAATTTAGTTTAAAAGATTTTGCTGCTGGCTTAAAACCAAAAAAGTGGTTTTGTTACAAAAACTTTTTAATAATTTTAACAATTATAATAAATAATAATAAAGAACTGACTCAAATTCAATAAAATTTCAACCCTTAATGCTTTAATTTCCTGGTCCTTAAAAGTTTATTTCAAGCACTCTCTCGTAGAATGATAGCTTTATTAGTTAATAATAAACCTACTGCAAGTGGTGTTAGAGGAAAGCGAGATTAAAACAAAGCTGGAAAGGTTCCAAACTTCACTATATATAGCATAATTCACACCGCCTGCTTTAGGCGAATGGAGGACACTTACAGATTCGGGTGTGCCATAGCTTGCTATTAAAAAATTTGCAAAAAGAAACTATCACATAGAAAAAGGTGTGGGTCATTAAGCACACAATTAGTTTGCTAGAAGAGTTTTTTCTTAAGGAAAAATAGTATATAAGGCTTTTAGCACACTTCTTATTTGACACTTATTTTATCAGCAGAGTACATTCAGAAATATCATTATAAAAGTAGGTTTATGCGAACTTGTGTATCCATGTAATAAGCTAGTTTAACATTTTTTAGACTTGCTCATATTTTAAAATATTCCATGCCCTGTAAGGCGGTAAATTCGTTGAGCAGAGACAGTCAAGTTCATAAAATTCTAAGGCTTTATAAGAAATCTCAAAAGAGAGATTGGTTTCTAGACCATTAACCCCTCTTGGGAATCAAGTCTAAGAAAATTCTGAGGTTAGGATGCCCATAGAGTGCCCTTTTACGCGAAAAACGACCCTTTTTAGAATTGCAATTATTTTCTATAATTTGTCGACGGTTAAAATTGCTAAACAAAAAATAGTTATTGCGTCTTATACGCTAAGTTAAAAGGGGATAGTGTATAATGAAGCTTTTAATTAACGAAAGGAAAGCTATTAACGTGGCCTTTCATGCATACAATAATTTAGAGCGATAGAAACAACTCATTATTATTTAAACAACAACTTTAGTCAGTATTATAGTAGATAATCTAAGGTAATCTATATATAGGGTTTAATGCTTTGTAACAAAATATTATAACTTGCATTTGAATGGAACGAATTAAATTAATTAAAAAAACATAGATTTGCATTTTTTTACATAATAAAGTTTAATATCAACATTTTATTAATTATTCTTTTTCATGCCTTTTGTTTTTTTTTGTTCTCCTACATTTAGATATATACTTTTATGTTAAATCTATGTAACGGAGAATTTGACCAAAAAATATGCATTCCACGTTTACATATTAAATTCAATCAGTAGTGAGTTATTGAAAGCAAGTAAAATAATTTCGGGCTAAAAAATATTTTACTAATCTTAAAAGAATGATTTTAATATTTCTACTCTCTCTTTCTTCAGTTTTTTTTTCTATTTTCTTTCGTTACTTTTTATGTTTTAAAGCTTATTTTATTAACGGCTTTATTTTCTTCATTCTCTTTTCTTTTTTAAAAAATTCTGTCAGTTTGTTTTCTTATTAACTCCTAAAATAGAAATTTTTTATCACAAGTTACATTCTCCTCTTGGATGGTGGCCAGGTATATATCTTTTAAAATTAGTGCTTGGACATTGAGCGGAGTGCATATAGATACAGTTACTTACTTTTTACTTTAAACTTCATGTCCACAGGGAAGGTTGTTTCCTATAAAATTAATATTTAGTTAATTTTCTATCTAATACCTTTTCCTTATTACTTTAATTTGTATTCGCTTGTATAATAGAACACTTTGTATATTTGCCTGTTTAATATGACAGAAGTTTAAATAATTGGTACTTTTTTAAAAAAATGATAGTAGATAACTTCCCTCGCTAATTTTATTTAGTGTAGCCCTATAAATTTTTTAGGTCTCTTACCTTGAGCTAAAACTTTACTAAAACTAAATTACCTACTTTAAAATATTTTTTACTATTATCACTATAACTTACTTTAATTAGGTAAGTACGCATATAACTTGGACGATTTTATTATAAATTCTTAATACAAACCACCTTTGTGAATTCCTTCCTTTTTAAAAATTATTTCTTTTGTTAAAGTGTGCGACTTAGATTGCTGTAACTTAATAATATACTACCGTTTATATTGTTCTTTTTAATTTAAAATTCAAACCATCAAAGAAAAGTTCTAGTATAACCGAAATTAAGTTGCACTGATTTCAACAAACTGTATTGTTTAGCAATTCTAAGTTCTGTCTCCCACGGTCTAGTAAACAGCTGTAAACCTTTTAGTTTGCTTCCTAACTTTTAGCCCATCTTAGACAATATATCGTTAAAGTAGTTACGAAATAATTACTTGTATAAGCGATAATGAAGTTACTACCAATGCAAGTAACCTATTTAACTATTCAATAGCTTTACAACATCGTTATATAAATAAGGCTAGTTAGTTTACACCAGCAGTTTGCTTTATATTACTATAATAATAAAATTACTTAAAGAATGCTAAGAATTTTTTTGTGTTTAATTTATGAAGCAATATATTTTTTAAGGTTATTTTCGTTATAACACTTTTGCTTACTACAATTGGGCTTTGCTCTATTCTGGTTTTTTTAAAACCCATTGTCCTAGAGAAAGGTTTATGTTTGCCTTATATTAAATAATTTTTTTACTGGTAACAATTAATATAGAATTAAAAAGAGAAAATAGGCAGACACTTAAACTTTTAGAGGAAACAAAGTTAACCGATCTGTTACCTAAGCAAGGTATTAATATTTACTACGTTATTTATTTTATTACACTATCCTTTCCTGAAACTTTTAAAATTTTTTTTATTTAGAAAGTCTTTATGAGGCCAGTGGTGTTATATTTTTAAACTCCTCTCTTTATATTGTATTTGATTCTGATACCTTTCTTGCCAAAATTACAAACTTTACACATAAATCTCCCGGTATATTATCTTAGTGCACATTTTACTCAACTCAATTTGAATTTGTTTAACAGATAATAGTTATATCTTTTCAAGAGAATCAGTTGAATCAGAATTTGAAGGTCACTTGTTATCTTTTTCGGTTATCTTAATAATAAAAAGCTAATAAAGAATAATTTAAATTCAGGTCTATCTTATGACAGTGTTAGCGGAAATCTCTTTCTATTACAAGAAGCACTTCGGCATCAAGAAGCTAACCGCAAGCCACGCTATAAAGCCAAAATTATTGAAATTTCTATAGATTCCGACCAAAAAAGTTACACTCTAGTGGAAAGTTGCAGGGTTGAATATAATTTTAAAACTAAAAATAAAGGTTAGCTTAACTCAATTATGATTTAGTGCTGGTGCCCAATGTCCACTAACCAATGTATTGTCCACTAGGTCTAGAAGGAATTCAAATCTTTCGAGGAGAAGATGGCGTAAAGACAGCTTACCTTATCTGTGAAGGTGTTTAAGTGAGTAAAATAAATTACTTTTCTTTAAATATTTAAAAAACGTGATAGGCAACGACTGCGAAGGCGGAAAAGCAGGAAAAAAGGGAAGAGGCATGGTTCTTACAGCTATTTATAAAGCTGCTACTGACCAATCAAACTGCTTGTATTGGCCTTTTTTTAAGCAATGGAGTTTGCCAATATTTTATTGGGTTTTAGTTGGGAAGTAACTAAGAAAAGCGAGTTGCCTCGATATTTACACTTCGAAGATTATTCAGATTTGTCAATTTCACGAGAATTTAAGCGTGCTGCGGTAAATTTAAAAAAAAAATTACTTAAATAAAATTGAATTAAGAGGTTCCAAAAGAGCTATCTAAAGCTACGACTAAAAAACCAGTTTAACAATACTTTTCTTAAGGCTTATATAAAAATTATATGGTTATTATAATTTTTATAAGGTAATTTCGCAACAGGACAGCGGTGTGTGGATTGCTAATATCGAGAATGTATTATTTTGCAACGTAACCCTTTTTTGTTTGTAAAATTTAATACTGAATAGGTCAAAGATGTAGATTGGTCCCAAAATGGAGCCGGTATGCAATTATTACTTTTTATATGTTAAATTTTGTTATAATATTTCCAAGTCTTTGATTTTCCTCGGTCAAAGAAAAATAAAATCTTTTACTGTAACGTGGAAGGTTAAAAATATTTCATAAAACTTCTGAAAATAACTTGAAACAGCTTATAAACGTTTGTAAAGGTGTCGCTTTTCTTAAAGCGAATATTATTGCAGTTGTTAGCGATAAAGCAAAGAAAAAACAGCCGAACAAGTTAATTAGTTCACAGTTAACTAAATTTGGTTTGCCAATTTAAAATATTACTCGTAAGGTGCACTCAAAAAGATCGTATGCTTCACATCTTTGAAATTCCTGAACACAGAAATATAAGAGAACTTCGTTTGTAAATTAAAATAAACTCCCTGAAATAAATAATATTTTACTTATTAATAAAAATGATGAGCTAAGAAAAAAAAATAGTGAGTGAACATTATTTTAGCTCTAAAAAGATAGCTTTGGCTACTCCAGTTTTAGTAGAGCCCATTTATAAGTCAGTTAAAAGGCTGAATAAAGTAAATATATGAAAGGAAAAATGGTCATAACAATTATCAAAATTAGAAATATCAATTAATAATTTAAATAAAAGCCTATATATATGCTTACTTTTATATGGATCGGTTAAAATTTATTAGTAACTTTGTTAAGCTCGGAGGATTTTCAACTCATCTTGATATTCTTATGCTTGCATAATCTAATATATAAAAATTCATATATTAAACTTAAACTTGCGAGCTAATTAGCAGATCAACAAGAATTCCATTGCCTATTAAGATTTTCTTTACCTATTTCTGCAAGCATTTTGCCCACACAGCTCGATGCGACGGTTTGTTCCTGACATGGGATCAACTTTTAATTAGCTTTTCATAAGGAAGCCAGCGCCTTTGGTCCTGCCCTAAAATCTAGTGTATTTTTTATAAAAGTTAATAACAACCAAAGATGTAAATTTTCAAATATCTATGAAATAAAATTTGAATATAATATAGTTTGCAGGAGGCGTTCACTGATTGCATTTATTCCCTTTACATTAGGATGATCTATTTCTATAAGTTAAAAAATCCGGATTATACCAACTTACAAAAAGTTAATTTTTAGTTTTATAGTTTTGTATTTGTATATTGTAGGTACAAAATAAATTTTTAATTTAGTTTTTGTTAAACCAACCTTTTCATTGGTTAAAATTCTTATATGATTTAGTCAATTTTCTGATCTTTGTTTATATGAGAAAGTTTGGTAATGACGTGTTTATGTATTTTGTGTTTTTTGTTTTCTTGGTGTTATTCCCTTGTATTTTTCATGAATTATGTTTTAGATTTATTTTTGTGGTGTTGATTCATCTTTAACAACACTTTGTCTTTTTGAATTTTATTTTACTGAGCGGCCATATCTAACACAACATCGCTGGTTCTGTAATTGAAATTGTTTAAAGTTTCCATTTTTTAGCGTTTTGAGCTTCAGAGTCCTAATTTTCTTAAGTTATTTGAGTACTCTTTCTTAGAAAAAAATAATCCTCTTTACTATAAGATTTAAAGAGCTATGCTAGTTTTAAGTGCCAAAATAAGCCGTGCCACCACTAGCAACTTATCATAAAAGGTCACTAAATTTATTATGGGAGGGATCACTACTTATCTTGAACTAACTTGAAAGCTATAATTAACTCGTGGATATTAAACTTTTTGAAAACATTAAAATTATGTTGTATAATTTCTCTAACTTTTCTCAGTCGGTGTTCTTATATTTATTTTTAATTTATCCGGTAACAATTAAGTCCTTAGTTTAACCAGCGAGCTTTTTTATCCCTGGTATTGACGGTCATACTCTTAAGTCATTCACGCCTAGGGAAGATTTTCAATTTATTTTATTCATTTATAGCACTGGCTTACTACAGGCGTGTATTATAATTTGCTTCATAACCTACTTTTCCTCTATTAATGGAGGGTGGAAGCCACTCCCCTATTTTAGACACACGCCCCACATAATCATTTTTTTTTTTACTGTTATTCTAAAACCCCCCATTCATGTAGTTCTTACAATTAAACTATAGCGCTTTAACATTATGTGCTAAAATAAAGGTAGGGGATAGAACTCTTTTTGGATTACTTACACTACCCTCCGGAAGATTTAACCTCTTTTTCAAGTACGTTATTTATGGTATTCTACTCTGATTGCGTGCACGCGCATATAAAAACATCACACATGGTATGTACACATAATCTTAGTTCTAACTTTTACATACACGCGCACTATCCGTAATGTACCATCAGAGTTAATGTAGTTAAAACGCACATAGCTAACATTACAAAAAAATTAGTTACCGTTTTAAAGCCCAAAATGCTGATGGTATGATCCACTTACAGCATGGTGTAATAAAAAATATTCACGCAACTGCGCTTTGCGATTTAATTAATTTTAACTAGAGATCTAATCTAAGATTATTTTAAAACTGCATTTGTATTCATTTACCTTAAGTTTACTTCGATCCCACTTTTAAAGAAACAGATATACTGGGCGCCGTTCAGTCAATTAAAAGGTTTATTCAAGCTCACAAGTGCACAGTAACATTGTTTATGGTTTCCCGTAGAGCTGCTTTTAAAGTTACTGTAAATACGAGCGTACGAGCATAAACAACTTCACTCGCCCTAAGCTGCTCTTAGGGGCGAGTATAAAGCGAGTTCAATAAAACTGTTTTCCTCTGTCTTATTTAACATCCTAGTTATAGGTGCTTCAGTTCAACTTTGACTACAAGCATGGGGAGATAGAATTAACATCTAATAAATAACAAGATTTTTGTTCTTTTTGCTTTGTAACATTAGCTCAGATTATACGCTGGCTTGATTGCCTAGAAGAAAAGTTTGATTTACTGTTTCGGTCTATAGGGCTAAACTTAGTGTTGCTATTAACTGTTTAAAGGATCTTTCTGAGAAAGAGACTAACGTTTGGAGTGCAAAAAGGCGAAGATTTTATTTAAACACAAAATTTCTGATTTTTTGCGCCATATGAGGCCTTACCAAGGAGTAGCGTAATCTTACAATTCCTCTTAGAAGATCAAGGGTAATATTCAACTAATATAACGTTTGCATCTAAATTTTTATTTTAAAAGTTTTGGCTTAACTAATAGTGATGAGCAAGAGTTACTAGCTTTGTTAGAATGTTAGAACCTTTATGTCTTTTTAAAATTTATTCTATTTTGGTATATACACAGCATTGATTAACACTACGTAATTAAGGTGAAAGAGCAGCCAAAAAAATTGAATCTGATTGTCTACTTAATTTTATTTAATTTTTAGGTTAGGGTAGAAAATGCCATGTCAGGAGACCTAAAAAATCGACTGCTTTACTGCAAAGGTTGTTCGGGTATTATCCCCCCCTTAATTAAACTTTTAAAATAAAGGACATTTCAGATTTTATAAGTACTTTCACTTATTATTTTATTAAAAAATGTTATTACTACTTTTATTAATATTGTTACTATTTTATTTGTAAACTTATCGCTATTAGAATTAGATTTATAAGTGTATATGAAAGTAATTTGAGACGTTTGTATGTGTAAAGTTCCTTATATACTTATAATAAAACTCCAAAATTATCTTTCAAATAATTTTAAACACCATTCCTATATGTTGTTCTTATAATTTGAAAGGTTTGAAAACTATTTTATTATATATAATACTGGATATAATAAAAACCCATTATTTAATTATATATAATATAAATGATAATGATATATATATATAATATAAGGTTTGTCAAAATTTGAAAGGACTACAATTAGCTTTTTTTGGTTTGTTAGCTTTTCACCATTTTGGGAGCACACCACCCACCACCAAGTAGTTAGCACTAAGGTGGAAAAAAAAGGAAAAAACCATCCCTTATATTGTAAAGATTGGTGTTGCGACCCAAGTGTAAATAATAACGTTCATGTAAATTAAACCGTCCGCAATTCATAAAACCATAAAAGCAATTAAAAAAATGTTTCCACTTTTTTATGAAAAAGTCTTGACAACAGATGCACGTTACTTGAGCGTGATAAGTTATATTTCCAATAAATTTGTTTACTCCACCTACTAGAGCAGCTAACTTTTAAAAATAAAAATTTATGCAACAGCCCCTGTAAAGAAAAAAATATTTTTCATTTGTGTTTGCGCAATGGTAGAGTTTTATATAACCAGAGACTAACGCTAATTATTCATTTAAATAAAAGTTTTTCCGAGTCTTTCCTCTTTATTTCACTTTAAAGGCTAAATGCGTTCGTAAAAAAAAATTATAAAAATAAATATTGTCAGTGTTTTCAGTTTTTATAGTATCACAACCATAATAACAATATTGGAGTTTTTTTTTTCATATTAGTATTCTTGTTTTGCAAACTATGAAGCAATAATATATATATGTCTTTTATGCTAATTTCAATAAAGCAAGGGAGAGTAATTTTTTTAAATAATTTTAAATATAGGCTTCCTTATACTAACTTTTAGGCGAACGAAAGTACTAAAAGGTGGTAGCGAGAAGGTCTTTTGGTATAGTTAAGATAAAAAACTCTGGATTTAAAAACATTCGCTTGTTGTCAGCGTGCACTTTAAAATTCGCTTACACAAATTTGCAGGAGACGCCACTATAGTATGTTCTGCATAAATTAAAGTTTGTAAACTCAATTTGTAACACAAAAGAAACCATTTTCTTCATATATTCAAAACCTAAAAATACTTTTTGTTACGTTAACTCTTGATACAAAAGACTTTACCTAAATAACCCAAAAAATATTAAGCAGTCCCTTTATAGGTACCCGGGTGAAAAAGTAATTGGGTTTAAAGTTTCTGCGATGAGCGAGGCTCAACTGGAGGTGTAATTTGCTTTCTACTTTGAACATTACATTAAGAGTTATTTATTATTTAAATTTTTATAAGGTTATTTAAAGGGAGAGTATAATGTACCTTTTTTTTTAATATTAAAAAGAGTGGTTGTGGTATGGACTCTTCGGTCAAGCACCACAAAGCCAGCGAGTACTGGAAGGTTTTTCGTTTTATTATAAGTTTTACAAACGAACTACAAAAGTAGTCAATTTTTTTATTTAAAAACTTTCTGAAGATTACAAAAAAATCTATCATTTTTTATTAACCAACTTTATTGAATGTTAAGAAAGTACCTGCCACCCTTGAAGGCGTTTTGGGAGGCTACCCAGAATTAACTAAAGTGGATCTTCGAAGCTCCAAAAACTTTTTGGAAAACTTATTAAAAAAGTTCAATATTACTGGTTTAAGATATTGATACCTTATAGATTTTATTTACAAGAATTTTGTATCAACTGTTTAAAAACTCTTAGACTGTTATGACAGAGCACTGGATTGTGGTGCTGGTATTGGTAGAGTAACCCAGGGCCTTCTTGTTCAACTTTATAATAAAGTTGACTTGGTAGAAATGTGCCAAAAGTTTTTAGATGAAGTTCCAAAATATGTTAACTCTGCAGAAAAAGTAATTAACTTCAGAGTTAGTTTATTGCACTTTATATTTATATTTGCTTCGAGTCTTTCAAAGTTGTAGGTAATTTTTTTGTCTGTGGTTACGTAGCTATCCGTTTTTGTACTTTTTTTTATTACTTGTTGTTAGATCGGAACATTGTATTGTTCTAGTTTACAAACGTTTACCCCTCAAAAAGCACTTTATGACGTTATTTGGATTCAGTGGGTTGTAAATTACTTGGCTGATGGTCATTAATTCTTTTAATAAGTTTAACTTACTTTCTAAATATATCCTAAAAAAAATTGTAACAATTTTTAGCTGATCTCGTTTCTTTTTTGATCCGGTGCAAGCTGGGCTTAAAACAAAACGGCTTTATTATTATTAAAGAGAACGTGTCGTCGACGCAATTGGTAACAGATTCTAAAGATGGCGGCATGACGAGAACTGCTGAACACTTTAAAAAAGTTTTTAAGGCTGCAAAGCTTGTCTTGCTAGTTGAAGAGACACAAAAAAATTTTCCAAAAGAATTATTTTTAGTAAAAATGTAGTTTTTTTTATAGTTTTCTACATTATTTATCTTATAAATTTTCACCTATCTTGCTAATCAGAAAAATATTTACAGTCAGTGACTGAAATGAATAGCTTCTTTAAGTGAGAGTTTTAATAGTCTTTTAACTAATTTAGTTTTTTATCTGAATTTATATAACTTATTAGTTTAAAAAACATTTAAATAACTGAGGCTCTATTACTTTAAAGTTTCGGATAAAAGTATTTTAAATGTACAACAGAAAGTAAATACACCAAGTTCATAACGTTAAAATTGTGTATGTTTAATCTATAATCTTTTTAATAATGTACTTGAGGGCGTTTAAAGTCTTGCAATTTTAATTTTTTATAATTATTCAGAAATTTTTGGGTAATATTTTTTTTCTCAGGTTTGCTTTGCGATAATAAAAAATTTCTCGATGGTTTTACTTGAAAAAAGGAAGATGCAATATTAATAAAGGGATTTATTTTACTTAATTTTTTTTTGTGGTAGTAGCCGACTTGCAGAACTTGGAATTAACTTTTTTAGTACTGTAACAAAGATCTTAAATACAATACAGTTTAAAACTATGCATTTTATAGTGTAAAGTTGAAATTAGGAAAATTAAGACCAATAAAAAGACTAATTTTTCTTTGGAAAGTTATATGAAGATTGTTTAATATAACTTTGGTTGGAACACATAAAAAAAAGAAAAAAACTTGTTTAAAAAAATTAGTAAGTAGGCCCTTAGAAAAAGCATTTTATACCTGTAGTAAGTGAATCATTTAATTTAAGCTTAAGCGTTTTATATTAATGTATCAAGTACAGAAGCCTTAATTTTATTATAACTACTTTTTTTAACAAAATTAACTTTTCAAGATTACGAAGTTATATGAGGTAGTTAAAGTAGGAATGTATAACCATAGTTGGAAAAGTATTGCAGCAGTCGTACTAACAAAAATTAAGTTCATTTACTTCCACAAAAAACTTTTTAGTATAAGTTTTATCAATTTTAGTTTTACTAATAACTATTAACTGGAAAATTTAAGATTATATATATAAAAAATCATGTTTACTTATAGGTTGATAAGTTTTTTTTTTTGCAGTTGTCATAATAACAAGAAAGTAAGTTTTAACTTTTAATTAGTACACGAGGAAAGTAATATTAGTATAAATCCTAAGATGTAGTGTATCTCATATATGATTGCCCTTCAGCCAAGATCGTACTTGTGCTGGTGTTTATAAAGAAAGTTTCAACAAAATACAAAAATTTTTTTTTAAATATAAACATAAGGACGATTTAGAGGTTAATTAAACTTGAAATCTTGAAATGGATTTTACTTTTCTTATTTAAAGTATATTTTAAATGATTAATAGTAATAGAGAGCCAACGGATTTTTTTTTATTTGATGCTTCAAAATAATTTTTTTTTTACCTCTTAGTTGAAGGTTGTAGACCAAATGAAGTCTTCTCTTAATCGTCCATTCCACTACTATTTCTTATTATGTGTTTATTTTTCTAAACTATAGAAGAAACGTAACAGCATAAAAGTGGTACATATACATGTGCAAAGAAAGGTAACATCTAATTTATTTCGTGATTATCTAATAGAAATTACTACTTAGCTTGCTTTTCCAACTTATTTTAAACTATTCAATAAAAAATAAAAAGAAAGGGGTTTACTTTAATTTGCTAAAAACTGTTATGTTTTCATTAAGTACAAAGCGGTTAAGATTAAGGAGTGGAATTCTTATTTGATAGGAGATATGACGTGTTTCTTGATTTTAAAATATAAAAGCGGCCATTTATATCTTTTGAGGTTTATGTCTAAACAATGCATAAGGTTATTAAAAACAAAGTACTTCGATAAGGAAAAGTTATCCGTCAAAAGTCGTGTTAGTTTACTTTTTCTAAGAAAAATTAGTTATAAGTAATTGTAATGGAGGATCCTCGCAGATCCCTCTTATATTCTTAGCTTAATTAAACTTAATAAACACTTCTTTTTTTTTTGCATATGCGATCTGTGTACACCCACACAATAGCGAAACTTACTATAAGTGTTAACTTATCTTTTATCTACTTCCGACTATATATCATATAATTGTGCAAGGTTCTTTAAAAAATTGCATCTTTTAATAAGGTGTAAAGGAGACATCTGTTTTAGGCACCTTACATGCAAACTAAATCCTTTTATTTTTTAATAAGTAGTTGCTTTTTATCACGCGGTTTGCAATCGAATATAACTTCCTGCCATGGCTCATATAGAGAATTCACCGAGTTTTCAATGTCTTCACTAGCATGAACATGACTGAGTACGCAATATATTGCCAGTTCGGGGTCCCACTTACTAATGAAGTAGCAGCTTAGTGCCTTATGTTATTTCTCACTTTTAGCCTTGTTAGAGTTAAGCATACCTCGTGTCTTTTAGCTTAAATAGTTGCCAGTGTGAGACTTCCCTCAGGGGATAAGTCCAATTCATAATGACTATATTTCCAATATTTCACCTGAAGCTTACGAGAGCATTTTTCGGAACAAGAATAATTATACATCGGTAGTCTACACCTAGTTCGATAGGACTGTTCTTAAAAATCGCAAAAAAAAACTGGGAGCCAGTGGTGGTATGAAAGTAGAGAGGTCTTGAACATATCTCCGTTGTGCTATGGGTGAGACACGCTTTGCGCGGTGACTTAGGGTTTCGAGATATTTTTGTCTTCACTCTGTAAAGTTTTTTAAACGATACTTAAATAAAAACTGGTTTTCTAATATGTTATCAAGTAATTCTGTGAAAAGTAAAGGGAAAGAGCTTGACATTATAACACAAAGCATCATCACTACTTGGGTTGGTAGTGTTTTTCCCTACATGTTACCACCTAAAAAAAGGTCTGTGAAAGTGTGAAATTTTAATTTATATTGAAATTACTAATTCCCCCTCTTCCCCCATAACTCTACCTTTCCTTTCCTCGGGTAAATCTCAATGTAAACTCATTGATTTTGATGAGTGATGAGCTTTATGAGAGTCATCTTTGGGATTGATACTTAAGTAACATATAACTGAGAACATATTATTTGTAACTATTACTCTTTAAGCACTTATTGTGTCTTACACTACTAATAAATTAACTAGCTTTGAAGATCTTTTCTCTCAAAACACCATAGTTCTGGACCTGTAGACCGAAAAAATTTCTTTTATCTCTATTATGTCGATCTATCAGCTCTATAAACCGCGGCCTTCTCGAACATAGTAAAACCAAAAAGACGAATTTTTATTGATATATTTAAGGTATCTTCTCATGCTCAGTGGGGTCCGAAATAATAACTTAAAGTAGATACCTTTTTATAGATTTTTTTCAATATTTTTCAATTTTAATTAGTCAATAATTGTTGTCAAACGGTGTTAGCTATCTGTAGATGGTATTGGTATTGTTATTTCCTTGTGCCCTGAGACTCTATCTTGAGACCTTGATCCAGGCTTGTGGGTAAGATTTTCCAAAACTAAACTAGTTTTAAGCAGGACAACCATATTCACGCTGATAGTTTGGTAAATAATCCAGAGAGGTTCTGGTACTATTGTTTTCGCTTAAGCTCAAAGGACACACGACCCTCTTTTCGGTAATTATTAGGACACTGCCCTCATAAATTCGCAGCTCTTTGTAAGCACTGTGCAATAAGCCGTCTCACCCTTATTTTTCACCGCGGTCCTTACCATTGTCAATACAACTTGCCTCGACTTTTGCGAGTATTAATAAACTTATTTTCCTAGCGCTCATTTTAATATATACTAATTTATATTTGGAAACTTTTAACAAGTAAATTTATATCTCTTTACTATACATTACTTGCTATTTATATATACATACAATTTAATTTTTCACTTTTTTCTTTCTACATCTGTTTATTTATCTATACGTGAGTTATGAGTTCCTCATTTGGAGAAGGGCTTCATGCATTCATTTCTAATATATTGGCTATAAATAAAGTTCTTTTAAAGAGTTAATTTTTACAAAAGCATAACTTCTAGATTTTGATAAAACCACTGGATAAAAACTATCTCCAAGAAGGAAATAAGCATTTTATTAATATAACTTACAATTATAATTTTTTTACGACCTAAAAAATTTTAGCCTACTTAATGCTTCCGAAGTGATACCAGATGATGGTGAGGCTCTAAAGGTTACATAAGTCGAGTCTATTCACGACGAAATAGCTGAAATTGTTTGTAATAGTAGTAGTAGCATTCATCTGATGATTTATTGTTCTCATAAAAGCGTCATTAATTATATTATAACGGTATGCAACGGTAAAAAATTATTATATACAGTAAATAATTATAAATATTAGTAAGTATAACCTTTTTAATAAAATTAATAGCATCAATAAGGGTAACGACACCTTAAAAGTCTATAGAGACTCGGAGAAGCCCTCATGAGCTTTCCACGACACCGTCAATATAGAGGTGGGCAGCGCTTCTGACACTAGTCTATAATTAACGAACGACCACTTCTGCGGAAACTCTTCTGCGAGCCCGTAAAGTGAAAATTCACCCAGAACCCAATGTGAAAAACAAAAGGGGCCCCTTCTTCTACAACTTTTTCAATCCAACGGCGCCACGATCCCGTCGTGCTGCGCTATCACCGCGGTA